AAGATGGGTTTATTCAGGATCAGCAGGGAACTGCAATTCAGGGTGTGCAACCACGGTGAGCCGCACGCAAGGAGAATGATTTTATAGAGAGGAGAAGAAATTTGGGAAGGCTACAGTAAATAAAGTTTACTATTAACAACGGGCTTTTCATTGGCTGAGTCCTTGCTAGGAAAGAATAAGTCTGTTGGACTTTGCCATTGCTGCAGGGGTGAGCACTCCGCCCTCTGGCTTCCAGATTCTATTTGAGGTTTCTCTCTATTAATTTTTTTACAGAAAATTTAGGTAAGCTAAACTAAAAAGAGAAATTTGCTAGGGCTCCTGGGGATAAAAACATTCTAGGTCTCTTCATCGCACCTGAACTAGGAAATGCAGCTCTGCTGCTACTGGGATCCATCTTATGACTACGCTGGAGGCCGGATTAAGGGCAATGTCAACACACAGGAGGGTAGAGCCAAGAGGAACAGCTGAGGAAGGAAGCCCTGATTGACCACACCTAGACCCAGACTTGTCCCTAAATTTCCTGTTATGGTAGATAATGAATATCTTTATGATGCAAAACAGTTTGACCCAGGGTTTTCTGTCACTTGAAACCAGAAGCATCGTAACGGATACAAGTTCTCACTATACTTTATTCGTACTTGCGCTGTATTTATTGCTCTCCATCACAGCGATTTAATCTGAGTTTATCTTCCCAGCTAGACTGTTGTCTCCTTGCCCTGGGCTTGTCTTAGCCATCGGAATCTTCCTAGTTTCCCACAAAGCCTGACACAGGGAAGCTGCTAAGTAAATCTGTTCACTGGATGACTGGTTTTGCCTGTTGCATCCTGAGTACAGGATTTACGGGTTTATATAAAACACAGTTCGTATTCTCAAGCTCAAGGGCAATACCTTGCAATGAATACTCTAAAAAACAAATACATTTGAGAGTAGCCAAATGAAACAACCATAAGACGCAGTCAGTGGCGATCATTTTGTGGCTGTACGCACACTTTCTTCCTGTCACTTGGACTCTAGGACATTTTAAAAAAATCTTCATTTGGAACTAATTTTAGATATACAGATGAATCACAACAAAGTACAGACTTCCTGTTTACTTGGTACTCACTTTCCTCTAATGTTACATTTTACTTTTTACATGTAAAATTTACATCTGTTACATTTGTTGAAACTAAAAAATTCAACACTGGTACAACACAACTCACTATAAAGGACAGGCTTTATCCAGATTTCCCCAGTTTTTCCTCTACTGTCCTCTTGCTGTTTCAGGATCCAATTCAGGGCCCCACACTGCTCTTAGTTATCACGACTCCTTAGCGAACATCTGTGATGGTTTCTTCATCTCTGTCTTTTATGACCTTTAACACTTTCGGTGAGTAGTGGTCAGGCATTTTGTAAAATGTCCCTCAATTTTTGTTTATCTGGAGCTTTATTATTCCATTTCTTTCTTCATTCTTTTCTGATGTCTAAAGTCTCCTAGAAATTCTTTTGTAGTAATAATGATGCCTTACAAACGTAGGGCATGGTATGGTTTACAAACCAATGTCACTACATTCCTTTAGTGAGTCTTGTCTCCATCTGGAGAAGTGACTCAGAAAGGATGTTTCTCCCCATACATGGCAAAGCACTCATGGAATGATGCTGTGAGGAGGCGGCTGAAAGTACCAAAGCACCTGCTGGAATGAAGCCTGGACATTAGCTCAACAAACTGGACCAGGCCTGAATTCAGGGAGCTGGACCTGAACTTGCGAGTCACCCGCACAGGGTCAGATTTCTCACCTCCGTGGGCCTCAGTGGTTTATAAAATCTCTCGCGGTTCTAAACGCCTCTATTATCTGTGTATTTCATTTCTCCTGCTAATATTACACTCTACTGACACTAATCATTAACAGCCAATCATATAACCCCGAAGTTGCCTTTCAGAGATAGCTTTTTACTATACTTGCTTCTTTCTCACGAGCATACGGTCAAGACAAAGGAAACAAACTGCAACATCTGCCTTTCTCCAGGCAAGGCTCTCTTCAAAAGATAGGTGACATTGGTGGGGAGGGTATAGCTCAAGCGGTAAAGCACATGCTTAACATGCATCAAGGTCCTGGGTTCAATCCCCATTAAGGAAAAACCAAACTAATAATAAATTAATTAATTAAATAAATAGACGTAATGGTGACTGGCCTCCCAAAAGGTAGGTTATAATGGCACCAACTTATCACTTCAGCCTAAGTTACTTCCTGATGAGTTAATCTCTTGGGAGGTAACATTCCTTATTTCAGAAAAACCAAGGTTCATTAGTGACAGCATCGGGCAGGAATAAACCAGTAATGCACAATTTTCAGACGGAGGTACAGCCACAGAACTCAGCCAGGTGTGTGGGTGACACGGGCATGACAGAGACGTAGTGGAAGAGAATGAAATAAAACCTGAAAGGCTAGTGGGGGCAGGGAAGGATGCAGGTAAACGGAGAAGTACAAGAGGACAACTTAAGAACAAGCAAAAAGAAGTTCATCTATTCATGAATATTTACTGGGTACTTTCTATGGACACAGACTTGCTTCCAAGGAGTTTACAATCTACTTCGGAAATGGACAAGAAATAAATAATTATTTAATCATAACTGTAACTAATGCTTTAAAGAAAAAATAAAGCATGCAGTGAGTGTACCAATAATCAGAAGTTAGGAGGTCTGGAAAATCTGATGAGTTGTAATATTTGATGGGCTGGAATATTTGATGTGCTAATAACATGTTCGCAGATTCAACCAGTAAGTTTGGGGAGCTTTGATTGGCTGTTGGGAGACCAGTGTGAAGACTGTGGTTAGAGGCAGTGCTTAGCAGCTAAGTCAAGGAAATCTGGGCATGTACAGTCAGGTGAGACTCATCTCTGGAATAATCTGAATGAAACAGAGCAGGCTGAGTGTTTGGTTGATGGGTTTCTATGGACTGGCGAGCTGGCAGTTGGATGTACCCTCTGAGCTCTGCCTTGTTTGTTTCAGACACAGCGAAACACCAGTCCTGGGAAGCACCTTGACTTCCCTGTTGCCATTCAGACTCGATCCACACTGCTCAGCACCACCATTTCTCGCCTATCCCATGCAATCACCGATCAGACAATATTCATGGAGCCCTACTATGTGCCAGTCTGTGAACATAATATAGCGCTGGAGAAGACAAGGAGCTTACTGTCTGATTTAAAAAGTTTCCAGACTTTCTTGGTTCACAGTAGTTTATTTCTTGGGGTCAGTAGTTTATCCACAGCATCCTTAGGCCAAAAGAAATTCCTATCATTTCCTTTTATTTAGAAGTTAGGTCCAAACAACTTAATAGGCATTTATGTCTGAACAACTTAGTAGCTATGTTAAGATGCAACTATAAATGAAAAGTAACATTTTAATTTTATTCCAGGATATGTCTGCCTGTTGGGTACTGCACAACTTCTCGAATTCTAGAATCAGATTAGACATCCCTACCCTCATTTCCTAAACACAGTGATTTTTGTGTAGTTCTAGTTTTATCACAACTGGTAGGAACCCAGTTTTGCAAAGAAATGACATCATCCAAGGAAATGCAATGGAAAAGAAATGTAGTCTAATGTGAAACTGTGAACTGTCTCCACTCACAAGCAGGATGTCAGATGGATGACTTCTGCTTCCTTCAAATATTTAAAATACCCTGCTGTGAGCTGTCTGTGGCACCCCGGCACTAGAGGATCTTGATTTAGAAACAGATCTACGATTCGAAGTGTCTAAACCCACTGCAGAGTTTCTCAAACTGAGAGCACTTAAATAATGTGTTCAATAATGTGTAAGTCTTCACACAACTGAAAGCCAGACAATTCAGGATCAGACTCTCCTGTACTTTATGGCAGAGTGACATTGGCCACGTATATTTCACCAGCACTCTGCTCTCGATAAGGGTGACCCTAAAGGGCTTCAACTAGACAAATACCATAGATAGAGGATTGTATTTTCTGAACCACAAATCCAGGTACAAGGGTGGGTGAACTTACAATGACAAAGAACTTGGATGTTGTCTGGTTCTGCCCTGGAAGTCTTGGACACATACATGGTCACCTCCTATGGGAAATCCCAGTACATGACCTGCCGCCAAGCCTAGGGACAGCTGAGTCTCACAGAGACTGCAGAAATTCCTAAATTCCCCTATGCCTGCAGCCTGCCCCAGGAGAAACCAAGGTAGAACAGGAAACATGCGTCAAAGACGACCTGGCATGCATCTACCATAGGACTTCTACAAAGCTGATGCCAAACCATGTAATTCCATTTTCCTCATCCTTCACAATTCACCCTTTACACTTACACACACACACACACACACACACACACACACACAAACACACAGAGTCATCTCACTTGAGAGGCCTACTAAACAGCTTTAGCAAGAAAAAAAAAAAGTTTGAAAAAAGGATGTGGACTCTTGAAACACCCTAGTACACTTATAACTAGGTTTACTATACCAGCTCTTGAAAAAACAGAACTGAGGGACTCTTCTCCAGTGTTAAGAATGCTCCATTTTTTAATAGGATTGTGGATAATGGGGGGAGGATAATCAAGCAAAACTCACCTGTGGACAGATGCATAGATTCTGATGGAGTAAAATGTAACAGTAGAATCTAGCTAGTGGATATGAGTGTTCACTGTAAAAATCTTTCAACTTTTTGGGCACGTTTTAAAATTTCCATGATAAAATTCCAGCAAATTTTTAAATTTAATTTAAAAACAAAACTTAGGGAACTATATTCAATATCTTGTAATAACCTTTAATGAAAATGAATATGAAAACGAATATATGTATGTATATGCATGACTGGGACATCATGCTGTACACTAGAAATCAACACATTGTAACTGACTATACCTCAATTTAAAAAAATTTAACTCCACACTTATCTGTACATTACACTGTATGTTAATGATACCTACCCCCTCTCCCCGACAAAAAGCACTGCAGAGGGAATGGGTTAAAAACGGACTAGAAGGAAAAACAAACCTACCGGATCATAGCTATGGCTGTCCTTCGTAACTGCTTCTCTTAAACAGGACTCACTTGGGCCCAGGCGGCTACAAAAGGCAGGGGCTGCTTTCTTCCCAAGTAACTTCTTTCTCGGCTGGGACCCCTTTCTGTCTCTCTTCCTACCATGAGTGGCTGAATCAGAAAACGCGATAACGGTTCTGTACTTTCCTGCAGCATCGCGACCAGCGGAGCTGCGTACAAACCGAGACTCACCGGGAAGACGCCAAGTGCTCCCGTCTGGGCC